AACAGCAGCAAGTCATGATCTGTTGCTTGGAACGCTACGGTTTAGATAAAGGGGCCACATGGCGTGTGGAATATATCCAGCGAATTTATTGCCTGCACTCTGAATCAATTTGTAACATTATCTTTCATAATGGCATGCCTTGACATGCAGATGATTTGATGTGGCTCTAAACTCCACGGTATTAATGAACTCCAATACAAAATGAGGACTGAGAGCAGAATTAAAAAAAAAAAAAAGTATGCCAAAGGATGGCCAGCAAGACGCTCAATGACGACACTTCTGACTATGCACGCTCTTTCAACGAATCGAGATGATCTATGATGCGCTAACGGAGCGTTGAGAGACCACAGGGGTCGATGGCATATTACGAATTTGCTTAATCAAAAATTCTCGTTCATCAATGAATTGTTCGTCGTCAGTTCGATCTTCGAGGAAATGCGCCAGGAAGGTCAAGAGCTTCTCGCGGTTCATGAGCAATATCTTTTGAACGGCGATGGATTTATGAGGGTTCGCAACGAACACCTTGAACACGTGGAATCCTTCGTACTGGACCATTTTCCTGTCGTCTCGAAGAAGGTTCATGCATATTTTTAGGTGCTCGCCGCTGTCGACGTACGCCGTCATGACGCTGTAGTTGGACCGGTCCAGCAGGAGTTCGCCAAGGAGTTTGATAGACTGTCGTTTGGTGACATAGCTGTTCGACTGCACCAGGGTATTGTTGTATTTATCAAAGAAGAGGTCGAAGTTGGTGGAGAGATATTTCGGAATCAAGTCTTTGTGCCGCGTTAAGAGCTCCTATTTCACAGTCAGAACATTCTGTTTCAAAGGTATTCTATTCGTATATGTTGTAGCATGGTTTTCCCCACCCGAAAGGTCGTAAACGCATCCGCAGCAACTTCAAAGGAGCTCTTGTTGATCCAGTCGAAAAACCTCCAGAAGACGCCTCGGCCGCTCTGGGGTCGGTTGCGGTCAATTGCGGCGAGTCCCTTGCAGCTGGATCCGGGTTCATCGCCGTCGTCGTACAGGATGATGGCCGCCGCAGCTTCGTTTTTGAGAAGCTCTCGAAGGACCGATCCCGCAGGAGTGGCGCTCTCTTTGTGGTCGTAGGCGCGACAGAGCTCGACTAGGACTTGTGGTCGGTTGCACACCACGTATGATAGGGCGATGGGGTCACTTTTTGGAGCTGCCGCCGCGGGCCGGAAGCGAAACACATAGGAGAAGATGACTTGGGTATCCTTTCGCGATTCAAACGGGAGGCGATAGAGATTGGTAGCGAGGAGGTGGAGCAGGTCCTCGTCTATCAAAGCGGTGACGAGCTGATAGATCTGCTCGGGTGAGCTCTCAGTTTCTTAAGCTAGTGTTAATGCACCCAGATGGCTAGGCTGAGGACAAGTGGGATGGAAGAGAGGGGGTCATCAATTCCAGGGAGCGAGTACCTTGAGTGCCTTGGAGAGCGACCTTCATCTGGTTGAGCACGCGAGCAAGCTCTTCGGCCTGGTCGCGGTCGCGTTAGAAGCAGCGCCTCGGCCGTCGTGGGAATTCTGCTGCGTACCTTGGAGACCCCGTTAGGGCTTTCAAGCTTTAGGATATGCTCTCGGGCTTGCCTAGGGAGATCGGCCGCAGCCCGCGATCTGCCTCTCCCGAACAAGAAAGACATGGTCAAGGTGGTACGGCTGTGAACTGGCGAGGATCTGGTCGTCTCTCTATCTCTATTTGTCTAAACGGTTGCCTCTAGACATAACCCTCCGTCTCACATCGGCCGCCTAAAAGCCCTGCCGGAGGCGCGATTCAAGGTCTGCTTGCTCTGTTTCCAGGGCGCTCCGCCCAAGGTGATAAGCTCAACTGTGAAATAGGGATGTCAACTGAGATGCGTCAGCGCGCCTCTGCTCTGCGTATACGAAGTACAAGCACCGGATTTCGGCCTATCAGGTTGCGTCGAGCACAGTGCACAGTGGTGCTCTATAAGGCTTAGACTCCGCAGCTTACCTTATGCTGCTGTTCTCGTGTTAGTGCTCAGGCTCTATAGCCTCTGGAAGGGCATTTTAGTGACCACCTACCCCACCTACCCTCTGAGGACTAATGAGGGGCTGTTACAAAGCCCCTCCATTTGAACTTTTGACTCACCCGGGCCGAAATTCAAACCTTGTGAGTCTTGGGGTGTTGAATCTTCCTTTCCGCTTGGCAAATTTCGTTTTCTCTTCCTCCTCCATCCACTTTGTTTATTGGCGAGAGAGAGAGACACGAGCACCATGTCTATCGATTTTCCCAAGGAAGAGGAGGTTGTCCTCGAGCGGTGGCGCTCCATCAACGCCTTCCATCGTCAGGTATGCCAATACAGAATTTGTTTTCTGCTGCTTGAAGCACATTGTGACTGACAAATCCTAAAGCTTGAATTGTCTGCTGGTCGCCCACCTTACACATTCTACGATGGCCCTCCATTCGCTACAGGCCTTCCTCATTATGGCCATTTGCTGGCGTCCACCATCAAGGACATCATTCCTCGATATTGGTCCATGAAGGGCTACCACGTCGAGCGAAGATTTGGATGGGATACTCATGGACTCCCTATCGAACACGAGATCGACAAGAAGCTGGGTATCTCTGGCAAAGCGGCTGTGGAGAAACTTGGAATTGCAAAGTACAACGAGGAGTGTCGCGCCATTGTCATGCGCTACGCTGCGGAATGGAGGACTACGATTGAGCGCCTCGGACGCTGGATTGACTTTGACAACGATTACAAGGTCAGAAAATCTTGAAGATCTATCTCTCTGCACCAATCTACGGGGACTTTCACTAACGTACTGTTACAGACTATGGACCCGAAATTCATGGAATCCCTGTGGTGGGTGTTCAAGCAGCTCCACGACAAAGAACAGGTGTATCAGGGTGCCCGAGTTATGCCTTACTCAACGGTGCTGACGACTGCCCTGAGTAACTTCGAAGCCAACCAAAACTACCAAGACGTTACGGATCCAGCGGTCGTCGTATCATTTCCACTGCTGGATGACCCGGACACTCACCTCTTGGCATGGACAACCACTCCCTGGACACTGCCAATGCATCTTGGTCTGGCAGCGCATCCCGACTTCGAATATCTCAAGATCAAGGATGGCAAGTCTGGAAAGACCTACATCATTCTCGAGGGTTTACTCGGAACTTTGTACAAGGACCCCAAGAAGGCCGACTTCAAAAAAATTGGTACCATCAAGGGATCGGAGATGCTTGGGTGGAGATATGAGCCATTGTTTGACCACTTCTATGAAGAATTCAAAGATGTTGGATTCAGAGTCCTGAATGCTACCTACGTCACATCAGACAGCGGTGTGGGAGTCGTTCACCAAGCCCCAGCTTTCGGTGAGGACGATTACAACGTAGCCATAGAGAACGGCATCATCAACGAAAACCGCCCTCCTCCGGATCCGATCAACGAAACTGGACACTTTACTGATCGGGTTCCCGAATTCGCCGGTATGCATGTCAAGGAGGCCGACAAACACATTATCAAGCACCTCAAGAAGACCGGGCGATTGGTCGTCGAGTCTCAGCTTCGCCACTCTTACCCCATGTGCCCCCGTTCTGATACTCCCCTTATCTACAGAGCCGTGCCTTCGTGGTTCATTCGCATTCCAGAAATCATCCCAAGCATGCTTAAGAACATTGAAGACTCCCACTGGGTTCCATCATTTGTCAAGGAGCGTCGATTTGCCAGCTGGATTCAAAATGCCAGAGATTGGAATGTTGGAAGAAACCGATACTGGGGAACTCCCATCCCGCTCTGGGTTTCCGACGATATGGAGGAGCGCGTCTGCGTGGGAAGCATTGAGGAACTCCGAGAGCTCAGTGGCTACACCGGAGATCTGTCCGACATTCACCGAGACAAGATCGACCATATCACTATTCCCAGCAAGAAGGGTAAGGGTACCCTGAAGCGTGTCACAGAGGTCTTTGACTGTTGGTTCGAGTCTGGCAGCATGCCCTATGCCAGTCAACACTATCCTTTTGAGAATGTTGAGAAATTCAAGAACTCGTTCCCTGGTGACTTCATCGCAGAGGGTCTTGATCAGACACGAGGTTGGTTCTATACTCTACTGGTGCTGGGAACACACTTGTTCGGCACTTCGCCTTTCAAGAACTGTGTGGTGAACGGTATCGTTCTGGCAGAAGACGGAAAGAAGATGTCAAAACGATTGAAGAACTACCCAGACCCAGCTCTAGTGATGCAGAAGTTTGGATCGGATGCCCTGCGGCTCTACCTTATCAACTCTCCCGTCGTGCGAGCAGAGCCACTGCGATTCAAGGAGACTGGAGTGCGAGAAGTTGTCCAAAAGGTACTTCTGCCACTTTGGAACAGCTACAAGTTCTTTGAAGGCCAAGTTGCGCTTTTGAAGAAGGTTGAGGGCGTTGACTACATGTGGAACGTTGGATTGGAGACTACAAACACAAACGTGATGGACAAGTGGATTCTGGCCAGCTGCCAAAGTCTGCTACGATTTGTCAACGAGGAGATGAAAGGTATGTGATTTGGACGCTACAAGGCTTATTGCCTCTTAATATTCTCGATATTATAAAGCCAGGACTAACACTCATTAAAGGATACCGACTGTACACTGTGGTCCCTCGACTTCTTGAGCTCATTGATAACACGACCAACTGGTACATCAGATTCAACCGACGCAGGTTGAAGGGAGAGAATGGACTGAATGATACCCTACATGCGCTTAACGCTCTGTTTGATGTCCTCTTCACTCTGTGCAGAGGACTGGCTCCCTTCACCCCGTTCCTGTCCGATACCATCTATCAGAAGCTCCTTCCACATATTCCGAAGGAGTTGCAGGCTGAGGACCCTCGAAGTGTTCATTTCCTACCCTTCCCGGAAGTCAAGGAAGAGCTATTCGACGCTGAAGTTGAGCGACGAGTATCAAGAATGCAGCGGGTCATCGAGCTGGGTCGTGTTTCCCGCGAGCGCAGAACCATTGGTCTCAAGACACCACTTCGAACCTTGGTCGTCATCCACCATGACAACCAGTACCTTGAGGATATTAAGTCACTTGAATCCTACATCACTGAAGAATTGAACGTTCGGGATTTGGTGCTCACATCGGACGAGGCCAAGTACAATGTCCAGTATAGCGTGACCGCTGACTGGCCGGTTCTTGGTAAGAAGCTCAAGAAGGACATGGCTCGAGTCAAGAAAGCCTTACCTACCTTGACTAGTGAGCAAGTCCAAAGCTATCTCATTGACAAGAAGATCCTTGTCGATGGCATTCCCTTGGAGGAAGGTGACCTTGTTGTGCGCAGAAGTGTAAAGGAGGACGAGGCCTCCAAGAAGCTGGAAATCAACACGGACGGCGCATTATTAACCATTTTGGATTCTGAGATATACCCGGAGCTGGCTCAAGAAGGATTGGCCAGAGAGATTGTCAACCGAGTGCAGCGTCTGCGCAAGAAGGCCGGCCTGCAACCCACTGATGATGTCAAAATGGAGTACCAGGTCGTGTCTGACCCTGAGAATCTCGGCCTGGCAGATGTGATGGTGTCACAGACAGCTACTTTTGAGAAGGTTCTTCGACGACCTGTCGAGAAGCGTGAGGAGGGAGCTACAGGCGAGCTCATTGCGGAAGAAGAGCAAGAGATTCAGCAGGCCATTCTGTTGCTTCGTCTTGTAAAACTTTGAAAGAGAGGCTGAGAACTAGAGCTCAATATACTCAAAATTAGAATGAGATTTAAAAGAAATAAACAAATAAATAAATAAGAAAATCTTGCTAAATATACAATTGCACATATTAAACAATTTTTTTTTAAAAAACAAATTAAAAAATTTAAGTCTTGTTATGATTGCACTTTCTTCATTGCTGCCTAATATTTGAAGATGCCTTGTTAGTCTCATAGACGAGAGCAGAGAAAAAACTATTGGGTGAAGAAGACTGGAGAGCATCTAACCAGATAGCAATCTTTTAATCTCAGGAATTCCCGAGCACACTTGTCCTTGGTCACGTCATTATAATCTGCCACGATGCATTTCCCGTATGCCGTCGCCTATTGAGAGTAACGTCTAATTAGTATCAGCCGGCATTGGCAAATTCACAGCGCAACTTTTCTAGACGCACCTCTACAGCGCATTTAGCAACGGCCGTTGAGACTTTCTGGATCGGGCGGCGGGCGGTTTGAGGATTCATGGTAGTTGCTTTTGTAAATAAGTCTCTGAAAGCAATACTGTATCGGAATAAGGAGTTATTTGTGTTGCTTTTGTGCTGCGTGGAACAAGAGCAGTTTGGGTACTGTTGGTTGAGAGTAGAGGTTTTTTGAGCGCCTTGGAGGAGGTACGGCGGTCGTAACAGTGGATGGTGGAAGCTCAACTAGCGCTGTGGGGAAGCTGGTGATGCTGAGATTGTTTATGCGCGCCTATGTATAAGTGGCTTGAAGCTCGTTCAATGTGAGCAATTTAGAACTCTTTGAGAATTGTAATATTTCAAGTGACGTCAAACGGCAATCAGCAACAAGAGACATCATTAACCCCTTTTAAAAAAAATTGTCGCGCGCACACACACACACATACACGAGGAACTTTGAAATGGTGTGCTATTCCAGCACTGTAAGCATTTACTGCATATCCTTTTGCTATTCTTTATGGCTTCATGAATCTATCCTATGCTTGAAACGCTATTGAGTCTTGCTATCCACTTTGAGCTAAATTTCTTGAACTGTTATTACGGTGCTCTCTGGCGAGGATTCCGGGAAACATCATGGGATCGTTCCCAGATACGTGGCTATGTGGCTCCCCAGTATGAGCCTCGATAGATGGCGCATTTTCTGGAATTGCATCCATATGCTCGGCCACTGAATGCGCCACTGAATGCGCCACTGAATGCGTGACTGAAGACATGGGTTTCTTGTTTTCCTGCGCCTCTAGTCCCTGAACGCTTGCTGCCATGCTGTTTGTTACCATTTCATTGAATGCTAGATACCGGGTCAAACTGAATTCTGAGTTAGTATGTACTTACAAGTGAAAGAAGAAGAGGGCAGGAAATTAGAATATGGGATAGCGATTACTTACACGTCTCTCTCCTGCATGAGCGTATGGTATCGAAACTCCTCTCTGCGATCGGGCACATTTGTTTTCACCATCTTGTTTCCCTCTTTGCCAGGCTTTTCAAAATCTCGACCCAGCCACTGCTGCTTGATGGCCTTCTCATAGCCGCTCTGCTTCACCGAATTCTTTGCCAACTCGCACATATCAACGGGGCTCAGCTTGTAAATCTGCGCAGCAACGGCGTATTCTTCTATCAAAGGCTCTTTGGTAAACGCAAATTGCAGCGGATCATCCGTGGATAATGAGACATTGAGGCCTCGTCTGAAATACTGATGGAACGGGTTTCGCTCGTAGGCCAAGAACAAGGCGTTGTTACTTAGCGGCGACATTGCAATACCAATTTGATCCAAATAGAAGATGTATTGTAGCAAAGGAACTTTCCGCAGCAGCAAGCCGTGACTGATACTATGGCAGCACAATGCCGCCACAGCCAAGTGCTCGCTATCGCCTGCTTCTCCGCAATGAGGTCGTAAGACGAACGTGTTGTAGCCGCGACTCTTTCGGAAGTGATTCAAGGAGGTCAAGTTAGCAAATAAGAAATAGATCCAGTAGCTATACGGAGGGTTTTGCTTCGTATCCCAGGCTCTGGGAACCGGAAACTTCCTGAAGAGCCGCCTTTCAGTTTTGCTTTCGTCGTCTACGCTGTCGAAGCCAATGACTCGCTGGAGAAATATGTGTAGCTTGGGATGAGAAGACGGATCTCTTGTGACTTCGAACAGAGGTTGAAACACATTTTTGATGACTTGCTCAAACGTATCCATTAAACCGCTGGCTTTGTAGATGTCGTAGAGGCGAGGGATCTGGACCAGCCAGCGAACGTTGTGGGAAAAGAGCTTGTTATCCACGACCCATGCTGCGAGCTTATCCCATTCGTCTATAGACTTGCCGTAGATGGATATGCGCCACTCCACCATCTGATATTTGCTGGACTCCAAGTCAGAGATGACTTCTTTGGTAATCTCAGCCAAGTAGCGTCCATGGATGAAATTGTCCGTCTTAAGAAATATTGTCCTGAGGCGCGACTCGCCGATAGGGTTGTATTTGAGATTGAATTTATCGAAACGATGGAATGAGTCGGTATGCGCCTGTTTGGTTAGCTTTCTGTTGTGCTAAGGAGTCTGCGTGGGTTACATGAGCCGCAACTTACATGCATGTCAAGCGTGTCTATACTCAAATCATACGCTGTTAGATTGATACTGGCAAATACCTCTGCCAAAGTGAGATGCTTTCCATCTCTGAAGAGCACAACCTCGTTTGGGTATTTCTTCATTTTGCTCTTAATAAATCGCAAGAGATGCTTCTGGTTCATACAAGCAGAATGGTGAACGTGTGTATCCACCTTTCTAACGTTGTAGAAGTCTCGATGTGGTACCTTTTTGCTGTCCGCAGTCTCTTGGTATTCATTAAGGAGAACATATAGATTGAATTTTCCTTCCAAATACTGAAGCCGGCGGAAAGCAAAGCTTTTGCTTGGACCATCAGACGAAACTGCGAGAATTTCTTCCAAGTCCATATAGAATTCTCTGATGGTAGGTACTCTTATAGCAGGGGTTTTGCTGGTCGAATTGTCAAAAACCTGATAAATGCCTTCGCTGTCGAGCTCAAAAGTCATGTCGCCACTTTCTGGCAAGGGTAGCAAATCTTCCAAGCAGAAGTCATCTCCAATATCTTGGCCGGGCTTTCTCTTCCGAGTTGGCCTTTTTCGTTCCTGAGCATTGGCAGAAGAGCCTACGCCGTGCTTCCCAGTCTCGTCAGTGCCATGGCCATGACCATGACTTTGAATCCATGCAGGATCGGGAGGAGGCGGATAGATGTCCCAGTTAGGATGATCTCTAGGGTTGTCATTTGACCCCTGACCCGAAAGAGCGATGTACTTGCGTCTCACGTCAAGTATTCTATGTATTTGCTTGGCAATCGCACTGAGCTCAGCTGTTATGTGAGGCTCAGTATCAAATAGACCATTCCCTGGCAAGCCAACAGAAGGCTCGTTGGCAAGTCTTGCATCGTTGAAGGCCTGGCTGGTGGGGTCACTGGGCTTAAGATACGGCGCATTAGACGGGCCTGTTGACCCAAAGAGACTGGCAGGGGTGTCTACGATTTCTGGCTTGTCTAGCACTTTAGTTAGCAATCCGCTTTTGGTATATATCGCAGGCGGATTGACTAATCACCATCAGTATCGAGGACTAGGGAATCGAGCCCGTACTCAGTGGCCGGGTATGAGCCAGAAGGAATTTGTGGACTTCCAAAGGGAGTTGACTGCGGCCAGGGAGAATTTCCACTCCGCGTATCAATCTTGCTCCTCTGGTAGAATAACTTTGCATCCGTTTGGGTCATCTGCAGCTCTGCAACTGGATCATAAAAGGTCGTGCGCTCTGGGAGGTCGCGCAGCAGCATTCCATCTTGGAGAATTTCTTCGTGGTTCGCGAGTGGTTCTGAATGCTCTTCAGGATCGATCAAGCCGGTAGTAGCCGGGCTCTGTATGGCTTCGTCGTCGCCTTCATCCCTAGTACGTACTGGGAGTGACATGCTGCCACTGTATAATGCGTGGTCTAAAGGAGAGAGATTAGGAACAGCGGTTACTGGAGTTTAATCAAGCAAAGCGAGGACCATCAATCGTCGAAATAAGAGGGGAAAAGATCTGATGCGACGCCGCTTTGTTAGGTGGGATAAGAATACAGCCTAATGGATTGAGTCCAGCCAAGCTCGCCAGACATTCCAAGCGCACATCCCTGGTAATTACTTACCAGTCATGGCTTCGGTGTATTATCATAGTACATAAACTCTCCAGCAATGGTGGGAGAATCAGAATGCCCAGAGAGGCGCAATCAGAATCAAGAGTCCGATACTGATTAGTTTAAGGTTACACGGAAAGGATTAGAGCGAGGAACCGCAGCATGGTATTTTCAGGCACAAACAAAACAACTAGCTGGGTTAAACCTATTCTGGACATTAGACCGTGCAGATTGGGTCTAGCGCATCTTTGCTCGCGTTAAGCATGAGATGGGCGACAGGCCATGGCTTGCAGGATGTACTCCAACAGTGCACTTCTTTGCAAGCAATGGTAGTTTTAATTGGTCTCGGAATTGGGTAGATTGAGATACTGAATAACTTTGTTGAAATATGAGTTCGTGTTTAGTATCGATAAAGATAATGTGAGAGTTGCCTGCGCTGATCAGAAGTGTAAATGCGCTTTGTACTAATTCGTAGTCATTTGTAATACTGTAGGTTGACTCGTCGGTGCTGCAGAGCTCATAATAGGCCAATTGTATGTTCTATTTGTATAGGCTCGCTCTAAGATGCCATTCCAAAATCCTTGGTATCAGCTCTTTCGCCTATATACCATCTCTTGTGTCTAGACGAGATATGCACGATGTACACTCAAAAGACTCAACTCAACAGTAAGCAAATTTAATAGCCAATGTCAAACTTTTTTCTTGTCCTCAACCACGGCAGGCTTTAGGGTAGGCTTTGGGGCCACGCTGTAGATACCTGCGGCTCCAAAAACCACAATTGCGCTAAGTAAGGTATTGACTGAGAGGGTATTGCCAAAGAGCCAAATACTTAGCAGAAGGCTTATGAGTTTTCGAATGCTTAGTATAATTGTAACAGTGAGCGCCGATGCGTTTGCCGCCAGGAGATTTACGCCACGAATACAGGCATACTGAGTCAACACGTTGACTGCCAGATATGCTAGCTGAGATGGAACTCGTGTAAGTGGCAGTGATGAAGCGAATGGTATGTTGAGCTCAAGAGGAGTGCTTTTGCTGAGCTCGACTAAGTTGCGTCGCATGGAGGGCATAAAGGGCAAAAAGAGAGGCAGCGCCAAGATATGGGCATAAAAGAGGTTTTCTTTCCACTGTGGCCCATACTTGCGATATGTTGCTTCAGTATACAGGCCCATAACAGACGAGAGAACTTGAGCTACAAAGATAATCAAGAATCCGACGTTGAAGACTGGCTCAGCACTGCCTTCGCTCGTTTTCTGCTTGATTGGTTAGGACGAGCAAAGAATATAGTGGTTATCTAAGTGTTCACCTTGTCCTTGGAATCTGACCAGGCGGCCAGACTGACGCCGATACTTAGCAGAAAGACTGCAAACACCTGGATGCGTGAATATGTCTTTCCGCAAAAATAGCCCGCAGCCATAGTTGTTATGCTACCTCCTGATCGCAAGATGATATGAACCGGCACGGATATGTTGTAGCTAAATGCATGGTTGTTCAACACGTTAATGGTGAAGAACAGCAGGATGTTAACGAGCCATCGGCGAAGCGGGACGACATTGGGCGCAAAGAAGAACGGTGGACGCGTTTTATCGAATTGCGCTACATAGCCAGTGATGGCGATGAACAGAAATTGAACAAAGGTTATAAGCGTTCCTATGTGGCGTGAATAAGTATATGCGCGTGATCAGTCTTGTATGGAACCGGGCGTGTAGTTATACCGTTCGTGGGCTCGAAGCTGTACAGATTAGACTTTGGAACTCCCAACAGGCGTAGGTTGAAGAGGCTTACTTGATGATTGCTTCTAGGGCGTATACCTACGGACCAGAAAGTCAACTCGCCGGACAAGAGGCAGATTTGGCTATCGAGATGCAGCACATACATTGGAGCAGCATCCGCCGAAGATCAGCACCGTCATTACCGTCGTAGCAAACAAAGTCGAGCCGCTATCCACGGCGAAATGGCGGACAACATTTGCCAAGGTGGGTGATGGTGATGCCTTGCTGGATGTCGACTGAGCACCCTTGGCCGGTGTCAGTTTCGGTAGAGGTTCCATTACGGCTCCAATGGCGAAGTGCAGGTCATATCGTGTCGAGGAACTGAGTGTCGTGGACAGGTAATCAATTGCCAGGTATAAATTCTGGAGATGGTGCTTTGCACCTATTGGTGTTAGCCTAGCTACCAGGGATTAACAATGAGTAATTCTTACTAAACCAACCAAAACGATACCAAGAGATATACAATTTGTAATATTTTGATACAGAGTAATATAAATCATGTATTATATATTATGTATTTTTCAAGTATTCTATCAATTATCTCTGTTTATAAAGTAATTCTTAGAGTTTAAAGAATTAATTCATGTCTATTACTGTAAATGTTCCTGGCCCTTTCCAGCTTAGCGCGCTTAGGTAGCTTGGTGGAGGGGTACGACCAGCATGACGGAGTGTGCTGCGACGTAAGTCGGATAGGTACCTAATTGCTTCTTTGGCGATTCTAAACCACCACAAACACCGACGATACCAGCCACAACCTCCAAACCAATCGGCGTCGTTTTCGAGAGTTGCCGCTGACTACAAACCATCGCCGCTTTTTTCAACCACTGCGACCTTTTTCGCTCTCTCAGGCGCTGAACCCTTCAATCCGCTGCTTCAAAAGGTCCAGTTCCTCCTACCATCAGCTACAATGCCTACAACCACCGCAGAAACACTCTCGCTTGTCACGAGAAACGTCTCCGTCGCTCCGCTAGTCCTCCTCTCCGCGGTCGATCATTACAACCGAACAGTCCAGAACAAGACCAAGAGGCGGGTTGTCGGTGTTCTTCTGGGCCAGAACGATGGAAAGAACGTGAGAGTGTCAAACAGTTTTGCAGGTACGTCGTAGACTGCGCAAGGAATCTGAAGAGATGATCCAACCTAGAGAGGCCACGCTTTCTAATAGCTTACTTGATCATTCAGTCCCTTTCGAGGAAGATGAAAAGGACCCTTCAGTGTGGTTTTTGGACCACAACTACGTCGAGTCGATGAATGACATGTTCAAGAAAGTGAATGCGCGCGAGAAGCTGGTCGGTTGGTACCACACTGGACCCAAGCTTCGTGCTTCTGATCTTGAGATCAACGAGCTCTTCAAACGATATACACCCAACCCCCTACTAGTCATCATTGATGTTCAGCCCAAGGAATCCGGCGTCCCTACTGACGCGTATTTTGCGGTCGAGGAAATCAAGGATGTAAGTCGTTCATATTCCAGCATCTTGAGCAAAGAAACCCAAGCTGACCCTTCCCGTCCCCTCTATATAGGATGGCACCACCACTTCTCGAACATTTGTCCACACACCTTCGATTATCGAGGCCGAAGAGGCTGAGGAGATTGGTGTCGAGCACCTACTAAGAGATATCCGCGACGTTGCCGTGGGCACCCTGTCCACTCGCGTGACCAACCAGCTCCAGTCTCTTCAAGGACTGCACCTCCGGTTACGAGACATCGGAGCCTACCTCCAAAAAGTCCTCGACGGCCAACTCCCGGTCAACCATGCGATCCTCGGGAACCTTCAGGACGTCTTCAACCTGCTCCCCAACCTATCCACACCCGATGACGATAGCAAATTGGGCAGCCACGAACTATCACATGCAATGAGCATCAAGACCAACGACCAGCTGATGGCCATCTATCTGAGCAGTCTGATACGTGCCATTACGGCATTCCACGACCTAATAGAAAACAAGATCCAAAACCGACAGCAACAAGACGAGAAGGAGACTAAGAAGGAGGAGTCTAATACCAAAGATGAGAAGAAGGATGGCGCCACCGCAGCCGCGAACGGAGAGGCCAAGGAAGGCGGTGAGAAAGAAAAGCCCAAGAAGAAATAATAAAAGGGATAGCAAGCATAGGGCCGCCTCATAATCAGGACGAAGGCGTATGAGTGCTTAGAGTAATCAAGTCAAATAGTGGCTTCTATATGGGGTGGATAACGAACCGCTAGGCAAAAAAATCCAACTGAAATAGATATTCTGCATTTCCATCTGCATCCTAGCCGTCTTAGCCGTGTTAGGGGAGGTACTAGAGACCTCCGATGATGGCAGCCAGCTCTTCTTTTGTTATATATCTATCCTCAACATGGTCTCTCGGAGCTCCTCTCCATTTCTCGGCCAGCAAGCACGCGAGAAGGTGCTTACAACAAGGGAAATCCTCCTGCAAACCCAGTCGAGCGTCCATCCCCAGGCAGCCAAACCCTCCAGATGTTATATTAGACTCTTGTAGCTGCTTAGTAATGCTCGTTACATCGTAGTTTGAATATGCGTCCAGGGCGAAGCCACTACAATTGCAGCTCCACGCATCAAGATGCACTGCATATGATTTCGACGCCTGCGGAATGTGGCGCCGCCTGCCCCGGGATGTAGTCGAAGCAGCAGATTGGACACTGTACATGCATATCTGATCTTTGCTGAAGCTCGTTGCTTCTTCTGTAAGCTGATCTTGTACAGGCTCGGTTTCACCATCTTGAGGTACGTGACTTGCGTGAGAAGTCGCAGCTTGCGTCGGGTTGGCTACTATGAGACGAGTTGCCAGTCCGCGATCCAGCAGGTCCAGAGCCGGCAAAAGAAGACTTGGAAAAATGACATGGAGAGTGAGTAGCTGTTGGCGCCAATTGGAATCATCGCTTGGAGGCGATGACGGAATAAGGGCCGTGTACAGCTGGTGATGAGATGGGAGACGATTTCTGTTCATCTTTTGGGTGGCGTCTTTGAGTATGACGGCTCCTTGCCGAGAGGTGTTATGCGCGGCATCGGTAAAGGGATTTTGATAGCATGTGAGTATAGATGCTCGTTGTTAAGAATGCGAGAATGGTAGTAGAATGGCGGCGATTGAATGTATGAGATTTGGTATACTAAGCTTAGGTAGATCCAGTTAAGGTGCACATTAACCCATTTTGGGAACTGATGGATCAGAAATTCGCGAATAACATTGCTATTCACGGCCAACCCAACTGCGTCCATATGCTTGGATAAATCTCATCATTATGGCTACAGGATAGATAACAAATGCCTTTTTTATTTATCTATTTCCTCTATACCATACAAAGTATATACTAGTACCTATACCCTACGCAATTACAGAAAAGAGTCGTACCATTTATTTCAAACCCACTCCTTGGGCTCCTTCAAAACGTCTACTAACCTCTGCTCTCGGCTTTTGGGCTCTGGCTCATACATGTATTTCCAGCTTGCCGTCAACGGCAGGCTCACGAGAATGCTCTCCACTCGTGATCCAGGCGTGTTCAAACCAAAGGCGGTTCCTCGGTCGTGGACCAGGTTGAACTCAACATACTTGCCCCTGCGAATCTGCTGCCACATCTTCTCCTTTTCATCAAAGGGCATGTCCTTTCGCTTCTCCAAGATGGGGACGTACGACGGCAGGAAAGACTTTAAGCAGTCCTGGATGAAGGCAAAAGTGTTTTCTTGGTCACGCTCACTCTCATCCAGGTCATCGAAGAAGATACCACCTATGCCTCGGCACTCGCCGCGGTGTTTGTTGTAAAAGTACTTGTCACACCACTTCTTGAATCGAGGATAGTAAGTCTTGTCGTGGTTGTCGCAGGCGGCCTTGATCGTCTTGTGGAAGTGGATGGCATCCTCGTCAAAGAGATATGAAGGCGTCAAGTCGCTGCCGCCGCCAAACCACCAGGCCTGAGATGAGCCATCGGGATTGGCCGTCTCAAAATATCGGTAATTCAGGTGCACGGTGGGGGCCATGGGGTTAGACGGGTGAAGCACCATGCTCAGGCCAGCGGCAAAGAACTCCAAAGACTCGACGTTGGGATCGAGATTCTTGTGGTTTTCTCGCATCTTTGCAATGGCTGGCTTGGGCAGCGACCCGTAAACGACGCTGACATTGACACCGGCCTTTTCGAAGATGTTGCCCTCCTGCAGCACGCAGGTTATGCCGCCGCCGCCATTTGGCCGTGTCCACTCGTCCTTGCGAAACTTCTTTCCGTCGATGCGCTCGAGTTCTTTGACAATGATTTGTTGCTGCTCTTTGATGAACTTCTCCATCCGCAGGCGCATCGGAGATTCGTCGGTGATGCTGGCCTCCCTCTTCTTCTGCTCATCTTTCTCGGCAAGCGATGAGACATCCAGCTTCGCAGACTCTGCCGTTGACTAGGAGCAAAAGAGACATGTCAGTCGAAAGAAGCTTTGGCTCTCCCATTAGTTAAAACTCACCAAGCTGTAAGCCAAGGGAGCAGTGATGCCAATAGCGGCTGCTGCAAGCCAAATGGCGACCGTGGAAGATGAGGAAGAAGCTCCAAAGCTGGCGGGAGACCGCCGAGCGCCTGAAGATGAGGAAGCCCATCTATTGAGAGCCAATTGGCTTCTCAAAGGCCGTGCTGAGCGCAGGCGGGCTTGCGAGACCACGCGCTGAACATGGCGAGAAGCCGCCGCGGGCGAAGCCATGGCGGGGTGAAGATGGCAATGGAGAGATGAGACGAGAGCGGCTGAGGAAGACGGAACGGACAGAGACGAGGTGGGCGCAGCTCGGTTTTAATAGCAACACGCAGGCGCGGTGAGAGAGTAAGCCGGAGAAGAGATTTTTGGAGATTTTCTTCTTTCCCGTCGTCTCGTCTTTGTCGTCCAATTCAATTGGACAATTGGCCCATCCACTGATCGAGCCACCGACTTCCCGGTGGCGTGTTCAGTAGTTGATATCTTCCCACATAGTAGGCCATGCCTGGCTAACGCTGATGGTTGTCGGCACAAGCTCGGCTCGGGATTCGACGTGGCGGTCGCAGCATCGTAGAGGGGGGACATTGATAGCGCTGTGGGTAGCGTAGCGGTAACGGACCTGTAGCGTCGTGAGAGGTCGGTAGCTATGCCGTGAGAATGCGCAAAGTGGCTTGTGCGCTATGAAGTCATTGTTGTTTTGGTCCTCGTCCATCCCTAGGCACAAACCGAAATGTCGATGTCTATCTTATCAGCTTTTACGATAAGATGAGACTTCACAAGATTCTAATTATTGGAAGCATATAAAAATCTATTCAAGTGCCAGTAATGGCATCCATCTCAACGGGATTACTAGCAGCTTACGAGCACTCCGTTTAGAGAAGCAGAGTTAATAGGCATTCTAGCATTATATAAGAATGCAGCACTTAATAAGCTATAAGAGAGATTCCACCTTATGTATTACTACTACTCATTTAATAGAGCGCAGCCGGATTTCGGATGCTCTCATTCCCCCTTGCAGATGAAAGCGAATACGGCACGGCCGGTCAGCCTTACAAGTCACTGCCTGAGGTACGGGGCAGTAGCTCAGCTGCGAGAGCGCTATCAGCTCCCTTGGGGCGGTACCCGGTACCAGTGACAGCGGCAGCTTGCACGGCAGCATTCCGGGGTACAAGGGACTTGCTATGCAGAACGACTGGCAGAGCGACTGACTCTGCTTCCCTGTGATGTTGATTGCTGAGCACAGCACCAAGGATCCGGACAAGCTGATCATGTGGTCTCTAAGCACCCGGCCACACGCGGGTACCTGCCCCGGGGGGGCCCGTGTTATGCATGTACAGCGGCTGAACCCCCCCTTTTCTCCTGCTGCTTTGCACGCAGCCGTACCGCGCCTGTACCGCAGTACTATCGCCGCAAGTCTCGGGCTGGTGATTCACACACCGCATTCCCACATCAAGCTGGCGCCACCGCCCCGCGCCACCCAATGCGCGCTGCTGATGGCGAGCGTCACTGCCTAACGCTCGCTGCAGTGTTCGACGCTGTTCTGCCTACCGCCCTCTTGCGTGTGTCATCAGTCATCAGCCGCCCCCGGAAGTCACTGGGTCACTCCCGCGACGGCACCCCTCTCCTCCACTCCGTCACCTCAACAGAGGCTCGCCCTACTACTTCTACCGGCTGCATCATCGCTTGCATCCCTTGTTTCCTTCCTCTTTCTTCCCCTTTTCATCATCTCTCCGCCAAATTCCAACCAGGCCTGTACTGAAGTTCGAGCGATAATATCGTACAAACCATCACCTAAATACACTGCCATCTCGTCATCAACAGCCCCCCTAACGCCATCTCGACCCAACTTCATCCTTCTCAACCGCCATCATGCGCAGCAAGTTCAAGGACGAGCACCCCTTCGAGAAGCGCAAGGCTGAGGCCGAGCGCATTCGCCAGAAGTACTCTGACCGCATTCCTGTAAGTTGACAGCTTCGCGCTCTGCTCTCAACCTCGCTTCGTCGTCGCTTGCCCGTGTCTCCGCTATGAATACACGCAACCGTATATAAATTTGTGGCTGCCTAACATCACCATCCATCACCATCGTCAACACACTCCTTCCGCGTCTTCCATCTCTCCAACTCGATGGCTAACATTCTCTGCTTCAACAGGTTATTTGCGAAAAGGTCGAAAAGAGTGACATCGCTACCATCGACAAGAAGAAGTACCTGGTCCCTGCGGACTTGACAGTAGGCCAGTTTGTCTACGTCATCCGTAAGAGGATCAAGCTTTCTCCCGAGAAGGCCATCTTCATCTTCGTAGATGAGGTCTTACCCCCTACCGCTGCTCTCATGAGCAGCATCTATGAAGAGCACAAGGACGAGGACGGGTATGTACTCTACTCTTGGTCCCATCGCATATCATTACATTATAGCCCGCACAACTTTGAGTGATCCTCAACTGAGCAAGAGGCTAACCTTTTGACTATTTCTAGCTTTCTATACATCACCTACTCTGGCGAGAACACCTTTGGTACCGCATAAACACCGAGGCGATACAAGGAACTTTCCAAGCCGAATATGGCTGATGCAGGCGTTTTGGTAGTCGGGCTTTTACTCTTTTCCGTTAGGGTATATCGGGAGCTTTGTTATATTGCGGATACTTTTTTTACTAAACAGACGATTCGAGATGAAATAGATGCCCAAGGCATCTCATCTCTATGCTACCTTTGTCACAAGCCTTGGCTTTAGAGGGGAATACTTGGTGGCACAGCGAAGGAGGCTTCAATCAGTGACATGTGACCGCTTGCGGCTGTTCACTTTCAAAGTCTCAGCCCCTCTAGCTTGTGACTGCTGCTTCTGAGTTTGCCCTAGCGCCTTTCTATTTACTTGTTTCTGCCTCATAGTCGGCAGCGAGACAGAGATTAATAATAGTTTTGTCCCTCCAAGACGTCAAGTTTCAACCATCTTTACGTTTCTCTCAAGATGCGTCGTAGAAGGAGCCTGAAAGTTGAATGAGATATTATTTATTTGCATGCGTAAACGAGCATTATATATCGTTTGTAGTGGTATATATACGTCCAACCAAAACACGTCAATCTCGTGGTAAATGGCTTGCTTCCTTTCCCTTCATTAATACTAATCATCATGAATATCCAAAAAAAAAAAAAAAACAACGTGAGAAAATATAAAGATTGAGAAAAAAAAAAATCAAACTTTCTCGATGTGAGTTTCGAGAATTCCATCGTATTGGTTCATAACCTTCTCGTCAATGGACTCGTGGAATACGTCCACTTTTGTGGAAGCAAAGTTCCGCGCGCTGACACCCTTCTCGAAGAGCACGTCGATTTCAGCAAAAGTTCGGCCACGAGGCTCGGGGAGCCGGAAGTAGGTATAGATGATGCAGCAGAAGCAGATTCCGCCCCAAAAGAATCCGGTGTAGTTGCTCCAGTTCCAAGCAGTGGGGTTCAGCATGTATGGCGTCAGAACGTTTGTGATTATGCCCACGATGTTGCTGCACGAGAGGTTAGTAAGCTGGTTTCAAGACGATTTTTAATAGATAGATATCAAGACTTACTAGAGATTGCGGGCAAGGACAACAGTCTTAATCTGCAGACGACGCGATGAAAGTTCGCCGACGAGAGAGTAGCAGACAGTGCCGACGGTGAGCTGGTAGAAGAGAGCCCAGACAACCATGATGCTGCCGGTGGCGAGGGAGCCTTGTCTCTTGTGCGACTCGGGCACCAGGCCCAGGAAACCAAGGACGAAGAGCATGCTGCACAGGCCGCAGAGACCATAAAGATACAGGGTGCGGCGTCCGATGCCCAGAGCCATCAGGCCCCATGCGCCAAAGACTCCCACCATGTTGATGGCGTACTGGCCTAGGGCGAACGAGTAAGAGTCGTGGTTGGATAGGCCAGCCTGCTGAAGGAAGTAGGTTGAGTAGTTGGAGAAGGCATTTCCGCTGAGGTTCTGAATGGCCCAGACCATGCAGACAATCTCCGTGCGGCGCAAATCTACTCCCTTGAAGCAGTCCCAGTAAGAGGCACCGGCTGTAACCTTTTCCTCCAGGGCGGTCGTGTGGATCATCATGGCCACGGTCTCGTCGGCGTCAAAGTCGGTCTCGCGCTCTAGGCTGGTCAGGCGGAGCAGCGCATGCTTGGCCTCCTGGGCCTTGCCGCGGCGGACAAGCCACCAGGGAGATTCGGGAGCAAAGTAGATGGCGACGAAGAGAGGCAGTGGCCACATCCACTGAAGGCCATAGGGGATGCGGTACGCCCACTGGTCGTCGCGCTTCAGCATGGCGAAGATGACTCCGATGCCAATCTCCTGGCCGAGACCCCAGCAGAAGTTGACGTAGGTGGTGAGGTAGCCTCGCAGGGCGACGGGACAGACTTCGGAGGCGTAGGTGACGGTGAGGGTCTGGAAGATGCCCCAGGGGATACCGCAGAGGATCTCGGCGACTAGCAAGGCCTTTACGTTGGGCGCGGTGAAGAAGATGGCTGTGAAGGCGGCGATCAGGACGAGGCAGGCCATGACGGTTTTCCGGTAGCCGAATCTCTCGGAGACAAAGCCGTTGATGAAGAGACCGATGATTTCGCCGACAGCAGCGCCCTATCGATCAGAATGTTAGCCCCGGCTGTGGTCGAGATATTCAAAATGTACATGCATGTATATATCATGGAGAGATGTAGAAAACTCACGTTACTCAAGCCTGACTGCCATCTTGCCGGTACCTGATACGTGCCGTCTGGAAACAGTTCGCCGTATTTCCTATTGAACTGAGGGAACGCATCTGGCAACTGGTTAGTCAAAGTTACACGGAAGATTCCAATTTCTCTAGGAGGAGACGTACAGAAATTGTTCACCAAGCTGATGTCGTAGCCCTCCATGACAATGCAGGTAGAGATGATCATGCTCCAGACAATGGCCTTGGGATACAGCTTGATACCTTGCAGCAGCGTCATCTTCTGCTCCTTGGCAGCAGCCGCTCTGGCATGCTCGATGATGGTACGATCCCGTTTGGAGAACTCCTCGTCGCCATCGACATTGATGACGCCGCCGGTGGTGGCATCTTTGGAGACTTGGATGTCGCCACCATCACCATCGAGGTGAGGGGAGATTTCTTTTCCAGAAGCCATGGTGTTGTGTAGTGATACAAGCCAACGAAAGATATTACAAGAACATGAGACGGCCTGATGTATCAACACTCTTCACTTCACAGCAGCAAAGCGTGTCGAAGAAAATGAAGAAAAAAGTGACAGAGACAGGAAAAAACAAGGATCGAGAAAAGAGGGTGGGTGGGATCAGAGACCACCATATATAGGTGAATGAAGAAAGCGGAGTAGGTAGGCGCGATGTTTGGAGATGAGAGATGCTTGCTGGAAGCGATGCCGGGGGTGTGATTTTAAGCCGAGCCCTAGTACCTGTACGATGTTGGAGGTCGTTTCTTTCTGCTCCGTTGATCCAAGGACGCCCGCCTGTTGTTCTGGAGCCGTCGATGGAGGAGGTGGTGGTGGGTTCCGTTTTTTCGTCCCTAGACACAATATCAACTAGATATGCAGCTAGGGTCAAAACCCGAAGGGAAAAAAAGGTGGTAGCGAATTAGGATTCTCGCCGTCTGACGCCTCTAAGCTAATGCCGGCTCTGTCTAATGCAGTGCCTTTTGCTTTTTACAGAAAGGAACAGCTGGGTTGGAAAAGAAAAAGAGGAGGGAGAAAAAGATTTCTTTAGCTCACAAATCTACTCCAAATCTACTTGTATTTCCCTTCTTCTCCCATGCCCCCAACGAAGAAGAGGGGACATGTCTAGTCTAGCAAAGGAACTAGCGATGAAATGCAAAGCCGGGAGTGGCTCGTGGCGGCGGAGAAGCCCGCTCAAGCTGCTAAAATGCCCAGGTCCAGCAAGTAGAAAGGCTGCAAACAGAGCCGTAATAATGGGGCAATTGGATTGGAGACTTTTTTTTGATGAGAATATGCCCCTGGTTTCTTCGGCCAGAAAATTTTCACTCCCCTGGTCGCAGAGGGCCTGCCACCGCCATTTGGGAGAGGCTGGAATTGCGAGCTTTACGTAGCAGCTCTTATCAGCGCTTATGGAGCAGTTGCAAAACGGCAGAGAGAGAGAGGGATGCCTTGACCGTGGGTTGTAGCATAGATGATCAAACCGATGAAATGCCTTAGACCTAGTATCTCTCTAGTTAGGTACAGAGTGTTGATGCTCTGTTAGTTGTAGTAGTATGAGAAGGCATCTGTAGGCAGCGTCTCCTCTTGAGGCGTTTGTCTTTGTTGATTAGAATAGCATTTATCCCATCAATCACAGCAACATGTTTGTAGAAAGCAATAGTCAATAATAGTAGACCATCTCTATGAGACGCCTTAATAGAAAGACACGCCGAGGCTGAGGCGTTCGCTCGCTCCTCACAGCCATCTACAGCCATCCAGCCAATGGCAGGCACCGCGATTCTACAAAGCAGGCAGCTTGTCGTCATTTGGGGAGACGCAAACCCCACGGGGAAGGATCGCGATGCGGGGGAAAACGAGACGCTAGATCGCAGCCCTTCAGCCCCATATGCTTATTCGAATCTGGCATGCTGGGGAATTGACGTGCGCCTTGGTTTCGCTCTGCGGCTCGTTTGGCGATGGCCTGGCCATCCGACATTTTTTGGTGTCGTGGGCCACAGAAAAAGGGAGCTGTGTCCACTGATTACCCGGCGGCGCTAACTGAGACAGGTAAAATTTACAGGCCTCTGTCGCCGAAAAACTTCTTCTTTAGGAAATTGTACTTTTCCTGGTCTCTGAGTGGACCATACTGAAGAGGGCTCCATTAATAGTTGTCCTAAATAAGTAATATCCGCCTGATAATGCCTGGTTTCTTAACTTGCCGTGTTCTACCTTACTCCATACCATCTATCACGAACCCTCACATGAGTTTGACAGCATTTGCGATTGCTCAGCTCTCCCCGGATTTTAATGAATAGTTGCTCTTTAGCTAGATGAGCTAGACAATCTCGATGCGGGGGAATAAGCATCTGCGGCTATTGACCATTTGCCGACGAAAATAACAACTCGATAGCGTGGAGTTTATATGTCTGCAATGGATGTTGTGTAGATGGATAGATAGTTTTACCCCATAACGTGTAAGATGCCGCGTTTCTTGTCTCATAAGGGCGTGCATTGCCGCAAAAATGCTACGAAGCAGACTCGTCTGTTCAAGCTACCCTCAAGCTGTGTTGAGTGCGAGGATTGTTACTATATGAATTGTGATATCTTATCCATTGGTTGATATGGCAAGCTGCGTTGCGCTTCTTCTCCCTGCAGCTTCGATAAGGCTTGAGCAATCTTCAGCGAGCCTTCTCAGGGTCCGTGGTGCATATGCACGCTACTCCCTATAGAACTGCGCCTTGCTTCCAGAAGACTGAGCTTATCTGTTTGTTGGCGCCCATCACAGCATCCAACTGACATTACATAATTCTCCCTCTCGTCCTCTAGCTACCAACGGACTTATGACTCTACTGCACATTCTGCATCGCTCAGCTCATAATAGCAGCTCCGGGAATACGTTTTCCCGGGTTACCTCTGTCCAGGGTCTTTTCTTTCATTCGGAGAAGAGTCGGAGCTTTGAAGGTCTCCCGACTCTCCCCGCAAGGATTTGCATCCACCTACTCCAGCACTTTGAGCTCCATGTGATGCTAACGCAGCGACTAAGAAAACTCAGGTGGAGGACGAAAAAAAAACCATCAAAGTGCAGTAACGTTCGATACATGTAAGATGATAACGAAATGTATCAATCAATATCTACAGAGACTGCTTAGAATATATAAAATAATTGGAGAAATAAAGACACCGCCCCTGTTTCACTGAGAATGTAAATATTACTCTCATGAATCCCAGTTGGTTTTTTTATGCCGCCTTTCCTCCGAAGTCCCCAGACTAGACCCACCTGTTTTTTGCTCAGTGTCAACGCCATCGAACCATCCCGCTCCGGAGCTGTGACTGTGCCTGTCCTTTTTCGTCCGCCCGACTCAATAATCTTTCAGCCACAGACAAGCTTCGGATCTTCGTCTGCAACCTCAATTGTCCTTCTGCCACTGTCATTTCTGCTCCCATCGCAGACCTCAGAGGCGCAATTCCCTCGTCTCCTCCTCACCCCGCCGCTCTTCCGACTTTTTAACTGCCTCACCTCCACACAGAAGCCACGATGCTGTCCGCTCTCCGTGTAGCCAGCAGGCGAACTGCCCTGCGACCTGCGACCCTGAACCTCTCCAGCCGCGCTCTTCTGTCCACCTGGATCAACGTGCCTCAGGGCCCTCCTGTGAGTTTCAATGCAAAAAGCCAAACTGGCATTGTCCATGCTTGCCTGTTGCTAACAATTGGGTTATAGGATGTAAGTTGACTCCGTAATTGGCGGATTCCCCGGCTCTTCGACCATCGGGCCACTGGGCCATGGAAGGCTTCATATTCGAAACGAGAGCTTCAGCTGCATGTACTGGTTCGGCTAACAGGATACTTTTTTGTACTGTATAGGCTATTCTTGGTACGCTTGCCCTCCATTGAATCTTGTTTCTTGTCGTGTGACTAACCTCTCCATTAGGCATTACTGAGGCTTTCAAGGCCGACAAGTTCGAGAAGAAGATCAACCTTGGTACGATAGCCTTTACGCCCTCTCGAGCGCCCCTATTGCGCCAATAACAGCTGCTAAACATACAATCATTTCATCCGTTCAGGTGTCGGTGCCTACCGTGACGATGCCGGAAAGCCATACGTCCTCCCCTCCGTCCGCGAGGCCGAGGAGAAGATTGTCAACAACAAGCTGAACAAGGAGTACGCCGGCATCACTGGTGTCCCCGAGTTCCCTCCCCTGGCCGCCAAGCTGGCCTACGGCCCCAACGCCTCCGTCCTCGACCGTGTTGCCATCTCCCAGACCATCTCCGGAACTGGTGCCCTGCGACTGGGCGCTGCCTTCCTCCAGCGCTGGTACTCTGGTGACAAGAAGATCTTCATCCCCAACCCTTCATGGGCCAACCACAAGGCTGTCTTCAGCGATGCCGGCCTCAAGGTCGAGACCTACCGCTACTACAACAAGGACACCATCGGCCTCGACTTTGACGGCCTGGTTGCCGACCTCAAGGCCGCTCCCCTGGGCAGCGTCTTCCTGTTCCACGCCTGCGCCCACAACCCTACCGGCGTCGACCCCACCCCTGAGCAGTGGAAGGAGATCTCCAAGGTTGTCAAGGAGCAGAATCACTTTGCCTTCTTCGACATGGCCTACCAGGGCTTTGCCAGCGGCGACACTGACAAGGACGCCTTTGCTGTTCGCTACTTTGTTGAGCAGGGCCACGACATTGCTCTCTGCCAGTCATTCGCCAAGAACATGGTAAGCATATTTCTGGTGTATATGCGAATATCAGAGCGATCGAGTTCTAGGTGATGTGTAAAGCCTTTACTAATCACTTCTGCTAAAACAGGGTCTCTACGGGGAGCGTGTCGGTGCCTTCTCCGTCACTACTGCTGACGCCGAGGAGAAGAAGCGTGTCGACTCTCAGCTGAAGATCCTCATCCGCCCTCTGTACTCCAACCCCCCCATCCACGGCGCCCGCATTGCCGCCGAGGTCCTCAGCAACCCCAAGCTGTACGAACAGTGGCTGGGTGAGGTCAAGGGCATGGCCGACCGAATCATCACCATGCGTGCCCTCCTCAAGGAGAACCTCGAGAAGCTCGGCTCCAAGCACGACTGGTCCCACATCACCAGCCAGATTGGCATGTTCGCCTACACTGGCCTGAACGCCGAGGAGATGGACAAGCTGGCCAAGGAGTACTCCGTCTACGCCACCAAGGACGGCCGTATCTCCGTTGCCGGTATCACCAGCGACAATGTCGGCCGTCTGGCCGAAGCTATTTTCAAGGTCAAGGGTTAAGAAGGGAAATAAAAAAAAACTTCTTAAATTAGAACGGAAGGGGGAGGGTCGGAAAGGAAAGCTAGAAAGGTTTTCGATTCGGGCTATCAGGCGATCTAAAAAGGATAAATGAACACTTTTTTGCATTGTTTAATTGCCAGATGACTATTTCGATAATAGCCAGTGTAACAAATATTCATGAAGAAACGCCTGATGATTGTATTATGTGTACCCATCCGCGTCTAAGCTTTTGCAAATCTCCATTCAGAATAAAGAAAAGGGAATAAAAGAAAACCATATGCTCGCTATATATAAATTGGGCAAAGATAGAAGCGCTTCATTCATCGTTGAAATCATGACAGTCGTAAGCAGTCCATGTCTCGTTCCGTATCCTCTACGTGCTGTCCCTCGTCTTGGTAGTCTCCTCCATGCTCATATTCTGACAAACCTCCTCCTTCTTCCTCCAGGCTCTCTTCCATTTCATCTTGGGAGTCTTCTTCTTCTTCTTCATCATCATCATAAGCTTCCAGGTCAACCTGTAGGTTGCGCACCTTTTCAGCAACTCGGGTGTTGGCGTCTTTAAGATGCGTGACGTAGTGCTGCAGAGCCGATATGCTCTGCGGAGTATAAACCTCCTTTCTGAGCTTCAGCATTGTTTGCTCAGCCTGCTTCTCTGCGCGCTGCGCGTCGAGGGATATATCTGAGGCGCGAAGCTCCAGGCTACGAGCAATGACGCCGTGTTTAGCCTCTAATGTACGCACGAGACAAGTGAGGCACTCTGAGAAGAGTTGAAGGAGGTTAGTGAGAGAAGTGATGGTGCGTATGCGGGCTGTTTTTAGAGTCTCTTCGGCGGCAGCCAGACTGGCATTGAGATTCGCAAAATCTTTTGGCAGAGAGGCGACATAGCGATGCAGATAAGAAGGGTTTGTGGCGGGATGGGCAAGGCGAGCGAGGCCCAGCGCAGAGGCATGAAGGTTGGAAGATATCAAATCCGCCAGATCGGGTAATAGAGCTTCAAAATCAGACAGCGGCGGGCTAGAAAGCAGCAAGGCGATTGAATCGTGAGGCAATGTATCGACGGTATCGAGAAACGAAGGCAAGATGAGGATCAGCTCAAGGAGCGCCTCGGGCGTGGCTTCGGCCGAAGATTGTGATTGTTTCTGCTGGAGACGTTCGCTGGCTCGGGAGAGTCTGGTGGAGGCTGCTGATGACGATGAGGGCTTTGGATCGGGAGGCGTGGCGGTTGCAATGGCGCGTTCAAGGAGGTAATTCTTTGCCGCTTTCTGGCGATGCTTGTCCAAATTCTAGAGTGAAACTGGTCAATACAAAACAATATCTAAAGGAAGAGGAGAAGAAAAGAGGGAGGAAGAGCATCAACTGTTAGAAGCTCACCTTTTGTACTACAGCCCGGTCTTTGGCCTCATCGTCATCCTTGGTAGAGCCATCCGGGTTCAAGATGGCAGTGGTGATGACGCGATAGAGCTTTGCGAATTCCGGGTTGCTTTGCAGGATCTTTTGCTCAACGGGGGGGAACATGCCTTCTCCATCAATTGGGCAGTCTGGTTCAAAGCCAATGAGTTTCCATAAGAAAAAAGAAGAAAAAGGTAACAAAGGGCGGATTTCAACACAGTGCGCTACAAGAAACTGAAGAGATGATTCTCATACATATCCAAAGAGGTAGCCTCCTTACGACTCCCCACGGCAGCCCAGCTTATCAACGTAGTGGGGTAGCAACCAAAGATGCCCAAAACGAGAAGCGCCCAGCTTTCAGACGAGAGCTCGCGAAAGGACCGCGGGGTCTCGTGACCTTGTACGTACCTGCCAGTTTCACCTTGTCTAAGCTTCCAGCCAAAGATCCGGAGCGGATCATCTAATCTTGCGCACGTAAGCAGAGAATTGTAAGTATACGAAAACTCCAAACAACAGGCCATCCTAAAATTCTCAAGAAGCTGGTGGGATCGTGGGGTTGTTTTTTTCGCTCTAAATGCTCAGCGTCCGCCAATTGAACCTGGCATTGCTTCTACACACCTTGTCAATGGTCTTCTCATAAGGCCTGTGTTCGAATCTTTCTAATTCCTTTATTATTCTGTACTTATAGCTGGTAACGACACACAACGAGCATCATGCCGCCAACGTTATTACCCTCATCATCGGCCCGGCCTCTCATGGCTCTCGCCTCTCGCCTCTCCTCTACAACAACCTCCTGCTCACTCCTCACATCTTCAATAACGTCAACGGCATCAACAAAATCGTCATCAGCAACACGAGCCTTCTCAACCACCTCCCCCCACCTCACCAAAACCGTCAAACCGCACCGCCTCCCCAGCGACCTCATCCCCCCCTACCCCTACGGCCAGCGCCTCGTCTACAAGCAGTCCAACGCCGGCCTCTACGGCTCCGCCCGCATCCGCTTCGGCAACACCGTCGCCCCCAAGCACAACAACAAGGCCCGCCGCCTCTGGCGCCCCAACGTCCACGTCAAGACGTTCCTGATTCCCTCCCTCGGCGCCCGCATCAAGCCCCGCCTCACCCTGCGCGTCCTCAAGACTATCCGCCGCGAGGGCGGCATCGAGAACTACCTGCTCAAGAGCAAGCCCGCGCGCCTCAAGGAGCTGGGCCCCGGTGGATGGAATCTGCGCTGGCTGCTGATGCAGAGTCGCGGCGTGCAGCAGCGCTTTAACGATGAGAGGGTTGCGCTGGGCTTGGAGCCGAGGGAGCTGGAGGACAGGGACGATATTATCCAGTATGCGCTCGATTACGCTACTCCGGGACCGCTAAGCTTGCGGAGCAAGGCTACGTTGGCTGAGATGAGGGCTGCTTTGGACCAGACCTTTGTGCTGGGCGACGAGGACTTGGCGGATCTAGAGGGGATCCAAGAGCTTTCTGACGAAGAGGAAGCGTTGCTGATGCAGCAGATAGACCGTGCGGATGAGGCAGCAAGGACCAGTCAGCTCAAGGCGGAAAAGGAAAAGCAAAGTCTTGAAGTGTAATGATTCAATCTCATAGATTTTTTTGGTATATCATTGTATGTACTCTTGTAAAATAAACCCAACTATATGACACAAACTAGCACAAAAACAAACTATTGAAATGCCGGATATCCTCAATGCGGTACTGCAAACAAAAGAGCTTTTATGCCACCACAATCTCTTCTATGCTAATAAAAATCCTCAACCCCAAACTTTTCTTAAAATCGAAGGTCCCAACCAATCTTGGGTCCGAGGCGTGGCAACTCCTCCGCCACGCTCTGCACATCCTTGTCTCCTCTGCCACTTAGGCAGATGACCAAGTCCTCGCCCTTTTTCATCGTCTTGGCCAACTCAATGGCTCCATAAATGCCGTGAGCTGACTCCAGAGCAGGAATGATACCCTCCATCTGGCTAATCATTCTGAAGCCCATAAAGGCTTCGGCGTCAGTCGCGGCAATGAACTTGGCTCGCTCACTGTCCTTCCAAGAGCTCAGCTCGGGTCCGACACCGGGGTAGTCAAGTCCAGCGGAAACGGAGTGTGTCTCAATGATCTGGCCGTTCTTATCCTGGAGCACGTATGTTCGGACTCCGTGAAGAACACCCTTGGATCCACCGCTAAGGGTAGCACTGTGCCTTTCCGTGTCGACACCATCACCGCCAGCCTCAACACCTAGAAGTTTCACTGAAGGGTCGTTGGCGAAGGGGTAGAACATGCCGACGGCGTTGCTACCTCCACCAACGCAAGCAACAACTGCGTCGGGGAGCTTGCCGCGCATCTGCTGCATCTGCTTCTTGGTCTCATCACCAATGACGGACTGGAATGTCCTGACAATGGTGGGATAGGGGTGAGGTCCGATGGCAGATCCGATGATGTAGTGGGTGGTGTCGAGGTCAACAACCCAGGCGCGGAGAGCCTCGTTGACGGCATCGCGGAGAGTCTTGCTACCGGCCTCCACAGCCACGACCTTGGCGCCAAGCAGTCTCATTCTGAAGACGTTGAGGGCCTGTCGACGAACATCCTCCTGTTAAATATAGTCAGCATAGTTTCTTTGGAAATTCGGTAGCGATATCAAAGAATGAGACTTACAGCTCCCATGTAAACTGTGCATTCCATGCCAAACTTGGCACACACAGTAGCAGTGGCGACACCGTGCTGGCCGGCTCCAGTCTCGGCAATGATCTTGGTCTTCCCAAGGCGCTTGGCCAGAAGCAGCTGTCCCAGGGCGTTATTGATCTTGTGGCTGCCGGTGTGGTTCAGATCCTCTCGCTTGAGCCAGATGTTGGCACCACCGCAGTGTTCGGTAAGACGGTCCGCCAAGTGAAGGCGAGATGGTCGCCCCATGTAGTCGTAGTATGATCGGTACTCCTCCCAGAACGAAGGGTCGTCCTTGATCTTGTTGAAGCCCTCCTCGAGCTCGGACAAGCAGTCCATCAAGCTCTCTGGAACGTACTGGCCACCAAACTCTCCAAATCGCTCAGGGATTTTGCCGTGGAGAGCTGCAAGCTGGGCTACCAAATCGCTGTCCTGCTCCGCTGTGAGTCGGTCGCTATCCGTGATAACTGCGCTGACAGATACTGAATCCGCGGGGGCACCCTGGTTGTCGGGTGCATCTTGAACCAACGGAATTTCCTCAGTAAACACTGGTCGAGAATCACGGCCGCAGAGATAGGCACAATAGTTTTCAACATCGGCATCGATTTGGCCAGAGGCGGCTTTCTGGATCGTGGTGATGAGTTGGCTGCCGACAACGACACCGTCGGCGATTTCGGCAACGCTCTGGAAGTGCTCGTGGGTGCTGACACCAAAGCCAACAGCAGCGGGCTTGTTGCCGCTGTACTTCTTGACGCGGCCGAGGAGGTCGGGGAGGTTTGTGCTGAGGCTTCCAGTGGCGCCGGTAACACCCTGTCTAGAGACAACGTAGATGAACGAGTCTGCGAGCTGGCACAGAATTCTCATACGGGTATCTGAGGTTGCAGGGGCGATCAAGGGGACGTATGAAAGGCTGATACGTTGAATACCTGATTAGCATACTTCCCAGCTGATGGACCGTGATAAAATTTGGCACTTACCCGCCCTTGGAGCAGAGCTTACGGAATGAGACCGCCTCTTCCGGGGGCAAGTCAACAACAATGAAGCCATTGACGCCAGAGCTCTGGCAATCTTGCAGCAGACGCTCCTCGCCGTAGCTAAGAAGGGGGTTGTAGTATCCCATGAGCATGACTGGGGCCTTCAAGCCGCGGGACCTGGCCTCCTTGACCATGGCCAGGGTAGACTGGATGCTGACGCCATTGTTCAGAGCAATCTGTATCACATTACAGTCAGCAATACAAGTCGATTGTTTTTCCGGCCCGGTATAGATGTTCGTACCGTATTCGCGGTCTGAATAGTCGGTCCGTCGGCAATGGGATCGGTGAAAGGAGCTCCGAGTTCAAGGACATCTTTTCGTCTCAAAGGTTAGTATGACTCCCAAACTCCTCCACAGCTCTTTTATGGTCAAAACTAACCAGCTCCTCCCTTCTCCATAGCCAGCAAGATGCCAGGAGTATCCTCCGGTCGTGGGTATCCCGCAGTCACATATGTAACCAGCGCCGGCTATAATGTTTTCGCAGCTGTCAGTAACATGTCCATCTTCAATCTACCAATTGCTACCCCGCGGATATCGTCAATGGAGGGGCAACTCACTCGGTTTTGCGCCTTGCAGCGGGCGAAAGTCTGCTTGATAGCCTCCATGGTTGTCTGCCTTTTTCTTTGTTGTTTCACTGCAAAAGAAAAGGTCCTGTTCACCAAAACGAAGTGAATTCTGCGTCGATGTCGAGGTCAGTGGCGAACAAAAAGTCGAACCTCTGGCGTTTTTAAAGAGTTGGACGTTCTGGCACCCGATTCCGGATCAATGCGGTCCGCCCCTCCAGATGGCTCCTGCCACTGCTAGCACCTGCATAAGCCCCGCCTCCCGCAGCTGCAGCCCAGCCCCACAAGCCCGGACTTGCCCAATCCGGCAATGCTCAGCAGGCGCATGCAAGATGGGCCATGGCTGCCATGATCCCGATCTACGACGGCGGCCAGCCTTTCATTCAGCCCGCTCGGCTTCTCCGCAATATCTGTATGTATGTGCTAGCAGGTAATGCAATGCAATGCAGGGGATGGAAAGGCACATGCTTGTACATTACATACGGCTGACATACAGGTACGACATGCTTCATACGGCGTTGGCTCATGTCACTCAATCTGCCGGAGTTGCCACCTCTAAACACTTCACTAGGAACAGAGTTCACTTCGTCACTGCTGACAGCTACATGCGTCTGACATCTAATTCAAGTATGAGTCAATAGTGGAGGAGTCGGAAACAGAGTTTATGGTCTTTTCACCCCGGCTTTGCTTTTCTTATTTTCCAATATCAATACAAACGGAAGTGCTTCATTGAGCTTTTTGCAACTGCGCTGTTTCTAGATAGATGTAAATTATATGATAGTAATCGCCTGTGCGGAGTAAACCAATCTGTCGAAAAATCAAAGCCAAGCCACCAACCAAGATGAATGATTACCCTAACGCCGCCAACCTCTATTACTTCCCCTCGATATTCTCGCCTTTTCGCTAGTATTGTTCTGCTTTTCAGTTGGTCGAACCAGCTCGAGCAAGCCCTGTTATTACAACGCCTCGTCTACTCTCACACTCTCCCCCTTATCATACCCTTGACCTCCATTGCTCTGACTTAAGCGAGCGGCCTGCATTAGAACCCAGTCTTTTCATTCGGATAGTCGTATGGGTTATTAGTCATTTTCGGTCTTATTGGGCTCGCCGCACCGTATATGAATTTCTCATGAAATGAGTCCCGTGCTGATCCGCTACTTCCAACGGAACTGCTGGAAGAGGAGGTCGACGGCTCCCATGGCGGTGGCGGGTCCTGCGCCCAGGAACGCTCTGCAGGCGCATCAGAGCGCATTTGGCCGCCGCCATCCATGCTTGGGTATCGGATGCCTCCCTCCGCGCGGCCTCGTTCGCTTGTGGCCATCCCTATAAGGGTTTGGATCACACCGATCAAGACAATGATAACATAAGTGAGAAAAATGCCGGTAGACAGAAGGGCCTCATGTACCAGGTTGCTATGGAGCCACTTGGTAACATGGCCGACAGCTTCACTTATTTCATTGGTTGTGGCATCAGACGGAGAGGCAAGGAAACTATCAATGCCCGAATCACCATCCACAGAACTGTTTGCTCCCGCGCTAAACGTATTGTTGGGAAATAGCGGGAATTCAACGTGAGCGTGGTCGTGGACAAATGTAAGGCCCTTTTGAACGCTCTCAACCTTGAGTCCAATAACACAGTGTAAGACCGACTTGATGGGTCCCAAAAGAAGAGTGCCATTGAAAACGAATTCCAAGCTCTCTTCCATCTTGTCCATGAAAACGTTGATGGTATTGTTGACCGCTTCTGTAGCGTTGCTGACGTAGTCGAGAAGGTCATGGTTAATGTCGTCGTTGAGACCTCCAATGACTCCGTTGGCGCCATCGGCCCACGACTGAGAGACATTCTGCAGAGTATCCACAACATTTTCAGCAAATTGTCCAACTTCTTGAGCCAGCTTAGGAGTCTCTTTTTGTACTGCTTTTAGAAGAATGGCTTGAAAGATGCACGCAAGGAATCCAGATAGTGCGAGTGATAGGACGAATAAGGCAGCTGGGGAGGTAGCATACGCAATGCACCAACGAGCAAGGATCCGTTGCTTCCCGGTCATCTTGCTCGTGAATCGGAGACCGTAGGTGGCAGTAAAAGGCCGAGAACCAATGTAGACGGCATCCATGGGATCTTGGTCGTTCTGAGTGACAAGCTTTGCGTAATTCCGTTGCTGCCGCCATCGGCGAATCTCCAGCCATGCCATGGGAGCCATGACGCCTGCAGCCGCTAAGGAAATGACAACGATAAAGGCAACTCTAGCTTTTGCCACCAGCTTGAACAAGTGGTCGAAGATATTGTTGAGCGAATCGTTATCGGAGCAGAATGTCATCTGCTGCTTCTCGGCAAGAGGAAAGGCAGTCTTGTTGAACGTGTAGTTGCCATATTTGTCGTCCAGAGCGTGGCGTAGGGCTTCAAAGGGAAGGGAGATGGCAGATTCAGTAAAGTTTTGAACGTCTTCAAACGTAGGGAGATCCTTATCCAAGAGTTGAAGACCACTGACAAAACTGGTCGTGTTCAGCTTAAAGTCCAGAAGCTTATTGAGGGGCTTGGAAAAGTTGACTTTGGGAATATCTGAGATCAAGCCGCCAAATATACTGCCTTCAATGCCAGACGTCAGATTAGAGATACCGACTTGTAAAGAAGTGGCGAGTTTGTTTATCTCGCCTACCGTTCCGTTGATCAACTTGTTGTAGGACTTTGTCGCATCCTCGGTGACATTGGCTATTATTTCAATACTACCGTGTATGAGAGCAGTGATGAGACAGGTGTATGTGGCCGTCAAGAAGTTGATGTAGAAGATGATGATGTTTTCAACGCCGCTGATGACGAGGTCGAGCGTCTCAACCATGCCATGGACAGCTTTTTCAACCCCCGTGCCGACGAGTTCATTCACTCCCTGGGAGAGATAATGGGGCATTGAAGCCATGGCACTACCCACATCTTCAACTTTGGTACAGGAAGAAAGAGCCTGTGTTTCGGCATTTGCAATGTTATCCCGTAGCTGAGCTATCAGGATAACGAGACGTGCAAGGAGAATAATCAAGAGGACCGTCCATCGGTTGATCCATATCTGGGAAAGACGAGCTGGAAGGCTGAGATATGGCGTAATGTAGGGAGCAGTATCTGCGCGCGGCTCGATAGATGGTTGAGGTGCTGATGGGATGGACGAATCGGTTCGAAGAGTGTTGGGAACATCAGGAAATTGCGACAGGTTGTCGCCTGTGCGAGGAAATGCCATTCTTAGGCAATGAGTGTATGAAGAAAGTGAAATGAACGGTGGGAATCGAAATCAACGAATTAAGTCGCTCGGAAGTAGTAACAATTGCCGAAAAGATAAGCTGTCACGGCCGGCCGCTGAAGATATAAAAAGAAGATGTATCGAATAGAAGAGCAAAATGATGGTGAGAAAATGAGAAAAATCGCAAGGAAAGAGAGAAGAAAAGTAAAAGCCACAAAGGAAAAGAGGAAAGAAAATGAAATGCAGAAATGTCTATTTGCCCATCATGAGTGTCTATTGTTTGAACTGAACAGAAGCAGGAGAAAAGAGTGAATCAGATATAAGCAACAAAGGGTCGGGAACAATAGCGCGCAAGCACCATAATAACAAGAATAGAATCACTGCCACGAGGGGCCGCCGCCTGTGAACACAAACTGAACGCCGCCATGGCGCAAACGGAGGTCGATCTAGCCGAGCGCATATCGCACAGGGTCTTTCAAACACTTTTTTTGGCCTCTCGATAATAGACAAGATTCGAAATAGCACCCCGGAGGCCGTCGATTCGATGAGAGACGCTCAAACAGGCATGGCAGCACCGACACCGCATGTGGACCTCCGTCTAAGCGCCGGTCAGCCAGCGCCAGCCAGTGAGAGCGAACCAGCAGGCCGCAACGGGTAGAACCTCAAACCCGCCATCAGAGCGAAGCATTTTCGATCTCCGTGCCAGAAGCCGCTGTGCTGCCGGCACTCTGCAGCGGTTATTCACTGGCTGGCTCACCGACCACCAACCGGGGCCTCGATGACAGCGGGACGCAAACGCCGGTATGGGGGGAACACCAGAAGCGCTGCTGCCAGCCAGACCTGAGCGCATGTGAAACACCAGCTCGAGCTGCGGCATCAATGACGTACAAAGACCAGCAGAGACGGCACGGACCAGCCCGAAGAGAAACGAGGTCGATTGGCCATGCGTGAATCTTGACAAACGGGGCCGTGATCCGCTCATGAGAAATGACCGCCGTGGGACATGGGCGCGGTCAGATTAGAGCCACCTGCTGGGCGGCAGGTCACAAGAGACCTTGTATTCCTCTGGGTCACGCGAACGTCCTGGCAATGGAGACACAGAGCAGGTGAAAACAGCCGCAGTAGCAGAATATTTGAGGTTTCCCTTCTTGATTAACAGGGTGCTATGGGGTAGAAGAGTAGAAGAATCGTTGTAGCGGTTGCGGTGCTCTGGTCCAATCAATAGCCGCCGGCACTTATGTAATACCGCGCTCGACGAAAGAATAGCTTGGAGATGGCAGCACCGACCTCAAAGGAGTTTCATCTATGGCGTTTCAATAGGCGTACAAGCACTCCTTGTAATATCTGAATTGAGCGCTTTTCATAATATCTCTTGGATGAGTTACTGGATTAGACGCAGTTCGAGCTCAGCCGCTCAAGGACGCGCCAGCAAAGCGCCTATCGGTAACTTTTACCGGGTAGTCCAGAGAGGCAGACGTTTCGGCATGAGCTGGCGCAGGACATGTTTCTCAATGGCGCAGTGATGTTGTTATCTGATGTATACGAGTAAAACTGATATTAGTTGAAATTAAAATCTTGAATGATAGATATAGTTATATCCCCGTCCTTTTCCAACTGTCGTTAGCTAGGACACAATTTCAGCGTCCACCATCACAAAAGTGAGTAGCCATTCTCCTTTGTGATACAGGTAAGGTACTCGTTGTAACCACCCAATATTTTAATCCCCAAGCACAGATATACAATCACAAGTATCCCCGCTACACTACTAATACATCTACAGCCTCCATGACATCAAATCAGTCTCTCATCAAAGGCTCGTGAATAGCCCCAACTCCTATCCGCCGAAACCGATCTGGCGTTCCCGCAACAGGCTCCACGAACAAGACATCCATCACCGAATGCCCCGTAGTCCTGCACCGGCGGGCCATCGAGCTTCCTATACCCAACTTTGTCTCGTGTAGATATTTGCAGCGCATTAAAGAGGTAGCTTTGCCCATCAGCCCGCAGCTGGAGCAGGTCCGGCCTCTCAAACGCGCCCCATCCTACCGCCGCTGTCGGTGCCGTAGTGGGGTATATTAGCTGCCGTATTTGACGTCCTTGAGTTCAATCTGATGGCTGTTGTCCTGTGGCCAAGTTCTCTCTGTCTTGATGAATTTCTTTTGCGCAAATCTTGTCACCCGTCAGCATAGCCAAGTCTCTGTCCAAAGCTGCCGTCAATCGCCCACAAGCGAGGACAGGCTGAATCTTGCCCTTGATATGAAGCATATCTGCCATTGTGATCAAGTACGAGGACGGGTTCCGTTCTACATCTCTGATGATTGAGACAATCTCGCCACAATTAACAGTCTTGGCATGTCTCTCGGACCAAGCGACCTGTCCTTGGAATGCCAGCCAGGACCAGGACGGGGCACCACAATCACACACTTTCAGCGCCTCAGAAGCACCGCGCCACAGCAGTCCGTAATGGATATCCGGCAGCCAGAGCCTCGAGGCATATGAAGAATGACTAGTAGCAGTACTTTGAAGCAATCCGGCAGCACAGCTTGCAAACGGCAGCCCGTTCATCACATTTGTGCACTCGGCTGCAATACTGGCAATTGCGCTGAGATGGTCGCTCGCTTTGTAAGGCTCAACCGGGAGTATAATTGCGCCATCAGCTCATACCAAGCGCGCAGCTCCAACCTGGAGCGTGAGGAAAGGTGGCTTTTGAGTCCAAGTCTGTACTCTTGCAATCTTCTTTGGCTTTTGACAATGGTTGGCATGTTTGGAGTAGTATCTGGGGCGTTGACGTCCTGGTTTCTAACCGTAAACGGAGCTTGAGCTCGACACTCAAGAAAAATATTGCTCGGCGTCAGATGAAGGATTCGTGGACTCAGAAATCATTCCTGGAACACCCATCCCCGATACAAGAGGACCTCCGGTTGACTTGAGTCAGATACTGCACTTTGATTCTCCTTATTGTTTGAGGGCATAGTAGTGGCCTCTTTGCTTGCCAGTTTCTCGGTATGGTAGTCGCACGAGCCTGGTAAATTTTCTTGGTATAGACATGTCCTCATTGTCCGGTTCTGATTCAAGCTCAGCCGGTCAACGTGAAAAGTGCGTGTTAATAATATAGAGCCATGTTTACGAGCTCTCCTTTCAGATCCGCCACGTCATCTTGGACTATGCAAATTGAATCAATCCAGACGTATTGAACGTCAAGCTTGCGGGCCAGAGCATTAGCATACCCGAAACGAACAGGCAACCGCGATATATCCAAGTCCTGCATCCTGGGGCCATAATTATGATGTGTAGTCCTCGATCTTTCAGTCTCACGAGTCCAGCGATGGCTTATAATCATGTAGCTGCCACGCTTACTAGAGCACTCCGCAAGGTGAGCATGGCTGTTTATGCCAACGTCAATACAGCGACTTGGAAGTTGCTCGTGGTAAGGACCCAGGCTCTCTCCTCCGAAAACTGCCGCGCAGCATCTTGTCTTGTGATTGGTGATGCAACCATCCATCCAATGAAACTCATTCGAACGACGACGACGACGACGACGCCTTATGCCACGCGTATAGGGATCAACTCAGGGCAGCGACAGAGCTCGAGACCTTGCCCATCCAAGAGGGCCAACCGACCCAAAGAGAGCACGGCCAAGCTTCATTGAGCCGCATCAGCCCAGCCGTGCAAGTGATAGGCCTTCACTTTGCGCCCAAATTCCCTTGGCATTCTCGAACGCCTAAATCCGACCTTAGTTCCTTTGTAACAGGAATCTGGTCCATATATCTCATCATTCTGGCATCAATGACTTACTCTCTAGGCAATACATGTTTAATGACTCGCCTGCCGAGAAGTTCAATGTAAGAAAGCTCCGTTCAACAGCCTAAGGAGCCACAACCTCTCCAGCGGATCCTAACACTCTTACAGATTATATATAGCGCTTATTTGCGTAACAATCGTATATTATTCAGCTCTTTCTATCTTCCCGAACCGATATATTCACAATAAAAGATCAACCTCTCTAATGCTGACTCGATGCATGGTAATCGCAAGCGCCTTATTATGGCTAGCCACGGACATGATTTTGGCGATCGCTGCTCGTTCTAACTCTATCGATCTTTATCATTTCGTCTCGATTCCTGAAGATAAGTTCAAGCCATTGAAAAATATGGTGACATTTTTCGGAACATCCGATTGGAGCATTTCGTGTATTGTAATAGCCTTTTCAGCAGCACATGGAGAGTTGTTAGTTGGCATTATCATACCAGACACCTTGGTCCGTCAGTATATGCCATATGTCCTCCGAGAGAGTGACTGGATAGCTATGAGTGACCGCGACAACTAGGACGCATACAACACGGCCACCCAGATATTTATTTTTTGAAAGTAAGTCCCGCCATTTAGAGCAATCACGAGCAAGTGCATATGTGAATGAAAAACAAAAATCTACTCCACAGTAATAACGTGTCCTTGGTATTGAATTTAAATATATGGGAATAAGAGGCTTGCTTGAAAGCCATGCATTAAATCATTTAAAACTCAGGAGCATTGACGTTCGAAAACGCTTCACAATCATCCAAACCCAAAGCCGGATTCCCCTAACCGTCCGACTATAGCAGTAAAATCATTAAACACCCTTTTGCCTATGTACATACACATGTTTGTTTATACCTCCACCTGCTTGTTGGCACCAACGACGACATCCTCGATTGTCTCGTCACTGAACTTCAGATCCTCTTCAATCGAAACGTGGTCCTTGATCTTCAAGAAGACAACGGGTGCGGCGATGATCAGGGATCCGGCGAGAACACCCCAGGTGGCGCCGAACATGGTGCTGTAAGGGGTGTTGATAGCGTCGAGACGCCAGAAGATGGCAGCACCAGCGGACTGGAAACCCTTGTAGAAACCTATCCAGATTTTGTCAGTAAATGGATCGACGAGGTGTGTTCAATGAGGGTGTATTAGAGAACAAAACTTACCAGCCAAGTTGGCAGCCTTGCGGCCAGAGTTGGACAATGATCCCATCCACCAGTAGATGTTGGTCTGCCAGATGGCATCGTAGAATCCGTAGAAGAAGTACAGGAACATGGGTCCGAGGAAAAGGTGGCCGCCATCGGTCCAGTCAACCTTGTTTGGCTCGTAGTTGGGCTGCGAGACCACGTCACGAGTGGGCTGCATCTTCTGCCAAGCATAACCACCGCCCCAGATGACAAAGGTGAGGACGAAGAGGAAGGCAAAGGACAGCTTGGCGCGCATGGCACGGCCAATGCCAGTGTAATCCAGAGCGTAGCCGTTGATGACAGCGCCGATGATCTGGGCGAGCCAGTACAGCAGGTTGTTGAGGGATCGAGTACGGATGTTGAAAGCAGCAGCGTTCATGTCGTTGTTCTGGTAGGTGTAGAAGATGTTGGAGGCGAAGAACATGGGAAACAGAAGAAGAACCCAGGGAGAGCCGGAGATGGTCTGCCACAGACCAATAAACTCAGACTGCCACGAAGGGTTCTTCATCAGGACAACCTTGGTGCCATCCTCACGAATGACCTTGTCGGCATCCAGCAAGAAGAAGGCAACAATCAAACCGAGGAACATGAGAACGATGAAAGCAGCATAGGTGCCATCGCTGACAGTACCAGTGTGGTTCTGGATGTTCTGAGCCAGGGGGATCTATAATCGGGAAAAGTTAGCGTCAGTCATGGATGAAAATGAGCGTTCAAACCAAACGGCTGAGGCCCATTATGAGAAAAAAGGAAGAGAATACGTACCAGAGAGCCAATGACGGCACCCAGGTTGAAAATGATCCAAAAGGTAGAAATGTATCGACCCTTCTTGTTCTCGGGAGGATAAGCCATCATGACAGCACCCTGAGCAGTCCAGAGCAGACCGGCGCACACACCCAGGAAAGCACCGGCAAAGATGACGAAGCCAATGTTCTTGTTGTGGTTGTAGCTGAGGAAAGAGGCGCTGTAGATGCAGTAACCAAGACCACCAATTCCGATAGTGAGACGGAGACCGAGACGGTTGGCAAAGGTGCCAGAGAAGAAACCAACGACGGCAAAGGTAGAGTACAGAGCGACGGACGAGTGGTCCTGGGCCTTGGGGTCGACTTGACCACCACCTCCCAGACCACTCAGAGAGTTGTACATGCCGGGGCAGAGGAAACACACCAGGGCAACCAGCAACAGCTGGACTCTGGGTGAGGCGTAGTAGATCTCACGGCCAAAGACCTTGTAGCCCTTGTAGATCCATCCATTGGGTCGGTCAACATACTCGTTCTGGGCGGAGGCGTATTCATCGACGGGAGCCACCTGGGGGGTGGCGTCCACGACGTGCTTCTCCTCATCAGCCATGGCGAAGAAGAGAGGCGCAGGCCTTTCCTGATTGCTTATAAGCCTGGAGGGAGGGTTTCTATGTCGAGGGTATCAACGCTCGGCAGGAAGCAGAGCGTATCTGTCTTGGGTTGGCGGAGCTGCGCACGCAAGTTCCAACGGGAAGTAGCCGAAGCCGTGGAACAAGATTGGGGAGCGGACAGTGAAGAAAAAGAAAAGCTCAAGAGAGGATCCAGAGAGGAATCTGGGGGACCTGATGATATATGAATTCTCGTGGCGCAGATCTGACGGGTCCAGCGCTTTTGGAGGGTAGTATCGGCAGGGCTACCCCATCCCGCAATTGCTTCCAGGGGAGGGAACGACCAAAGGGCCACGGTCAAGGTTGCTTGACTTTTAGCACCAGACTAGCTCTCCAGCAACCACTTTCTATTATGGTGCTGTGGATGGACGGATGAGCGGCGAGGGGACCAGGTATCGGTGCGGAGACTGAGCTGGGGGGAGCGACTGGACGATGGACCGCAAAGTCACACCACAATCATCAGCATGCGGACCGGTACCTCGACGTTGGAGGCGATTGCTGTACGGGAAAGGAGTCGAGAGAAGGATGCCGCCAAACGGTGCCAGTGCCTAGCCTCGTGCAGGCAGAGTGTGCATACAACGTGGATCCCGGGGCGTTGGTAGCAGCCAAGAGCAATGCGCCAGAGCCTGCACCGAGCGAGCGAGGGCCTGGTTGGCTACGCTAAATGTTAATGAGAACGGCAATGCGACCTTGGAGGCCGGGCAGGGGTCGCCGTTGGCCCAGCGCAGGCTGAGAGTAACGGGGTGGATCAGGAAGAAAGGTTGCATCAACAGGCTACGTGACAATCGGGAATGTGGGAAGGGCGCTGACTAGTGCTCGTACCGGCCGTGCTAGTCCTGCCACTCGTTGCAGGAGACGAGATAGCAGCAGAAGAGCGGTTGCTTGGGCCGAGAGCCATGATGGCGGCGGCGGTGGCTTTTTAGGGAACAAAGAGAAGAGGCTCTCCGTGATGTTTTGCAGCTGGCGGTCACCGGTATGTGCGCACCTGCCATGGCAGCCAGCAATTGCCAGAGCAACCAACGAGACGTCTCTCCCGGCCAGATGCAAGGCGTGGAGTGACAATTACTGGACTGGCATGTGTCTTCTGCTTTTGGCTGACACATACCGATATCTTTCATCGCCTAATTATAGAATACATTTCCCGACGTCGGGAGGGTGATAACGAGATATCAAGATAGAGCATTATCTATCGCGCCCTAACAGCAGATGAGATGGCATGATACAATGCACTGATAGGGAGCAAGTAACATGCTCCAACACGGCAAGATTGGCGTCTGCCCTCGTATCTCAGGCGGCAGATACAGCAAACAAAAAAAGTTTACACCGTCACAAGACAAAAACCAGCTAGGGACAAATTAAAACAGTACGTAGAGAATTGCAGATTAGAGAAGGAAAAAAACAGACCAGGATACCAGGGTTCGGGCTTTGGTTTTTCTTTTTTTGATGAGCGAGGAGCCGTCTGGTGGAGCAGCGCCACTCGGCTAGGCCGCCACAGCACGCGACTGAGGAAATGGCAGAGTCGAGATCGCAGCGAATATCAACGAATGGGTACGGATAGGCAGATACGAAGTACGTGAGAGAGCTGAAGGATGCTGGGCCGTAGATGGGATCGGTGTCGAATGTAGGTGCTCGTGGCCATGATAGCAAGCGGCCATGTACCAGCAGCCCGTCATCTGAAAGATTGGACGGCTCTGTTGGTTTCAACGGCCAGCCAGCATGTAGCAGCAGCACGCACATTGGTCCAGAGGCAGAATGCAACCCTGCCGCATCCAATATTGCTTTTCCTGCACTAGCAGGTGCAGTAGATGCAAAACGGCAAGGTCTGAACGAGGGAACAACAACAGCTTCTCTGCGTCGTCCACCGTCTTTGCCCCGCGGCGTGGCTTGTCTCTTTGAAGTTTGGAGTAATTACCCTTTTGGTGTTGATTTTTTTTTCTCTTGATTTTATATTTCCATTTATTCTATGTGAATGGGTGTGGTGGCGTTCTAGTTTCGGTTGGAGTTAAAGCCCGCTGCTTGAGTCGCTCTGCCCGTCCCCCAGATTCCTCCCCATGCCCAATTAGCAGCTGATTTCTCTGTGCTGTTTTACTCGCTTGTCAATTCTCACCTCTGGCTTCTGCCAAGCATTAAGTACCTGTAAGAAGAAGAAGAGGAATCGACAGCGAAGAGGCCATCCCTGGCCATCTCACAGGCCGGCCACGCTACAAGTACATCACGCTTCCCTCCGCCTCCTACCCGTATCGGACAAGGCTGGGTCCTCGTATCTCACCTGCCATCGTAAGCTGAGCCGGGGGGAATGAAAACGCTGATGTTTAGCGAAGAAGAGCGCTGTAACTCTTACCTGCTATCCTCTCCCCCTGCCTCATCACCAAAACGAACCCGTCAGCTCGCGGATGAAGGCCCGAATGGCCCCAGCTGCTGGTTGGCCACCTTTGGGGATTCATCCCAGATCGAGGCGCGCCGCCACCGCCCCTCGCAAATGCAAAAACGAGCATTAGCCTTCATCAGAGCAACGCGCTGACTGGCCGCCTGCAAACCCCCTGGGCGGATATCCCAGTGGCCTAATCAGCAGCCGATGCCGCGACTCTGCGCCGCTCCCTGAGGAGGGAAAAAGGTCCGGGGCGGGGCGCGCTTCGGCATGGGGGCCAGCTAGAAAGTAGCGAGCGGTGCTAGCACAAATTGCGGTAGCCACATGATGAGGATAAGAGGCTGCAGGTTGATTCATGGAACAACAAGATCCTGGCCGCTTCATCTTCGGTTATCGGGCTGTGTACACAGATATGATGGCAGGCATTGATTGACTGATTCCATTCAGCAGAAGTCGGTAGTTGTGTGGAGCACAATGCTCGTGTCCGGGCACATACGAGGACAGCGCATGATGCGGTACACATGGATGCAACAGAACAGACGCCACAACAACAACACACAACAGCACAGCATACACAGCATCCCACTGGCATATACGAGCAGCTTGCACGCGATGCGGGCCACTGCCAAAACTGCACCAGAGCCAAATCATTCCTTGGGCGCTTCTCGATCGCACCAACAAACGCCGGCTCTGGGGCCAAGCCATAAAACGGGTCACCCGCCTGCGAGAAGCCGAAGCGCCACAGCTCCTTTGGCTCCAGGAAAAAGGGAGATCGTTTCCATTTCTTTAAAAGTTCCGAGTTGGGCCTAGGCCACCCATGTAACGTTCCCTCGTCCCGTCCTTTTCGGTATCTATTTCCACAAGCCACAAAAGCACAAACAGAGTCATTGGCGGCTGACTAACTATGGCCGTAACTTATCTCGACCTCTTCCCCCATGATCCCGTAATTTTAGCATTTCGAGATCTTGGGAACCGACTCATATTTTTCAGCTCGGCCATCAATCAGGACGCTAGAAGCTCCCCTTGATACTGACGCTAACATATACGCCAGCAGTAGTATCAAGAGCTGCAGTCCAGGGCATTCTGCCAAGAGAGGATACATGCCAATCGCAGCTGATGGCCTCTCCCGTTGGGCATCGCTGCACTGGCTCGTGACATTGATCCAAATGCTAATCCGAGGCCTGGGACCCGTCAAAAGGATGCGCGGGCCTCCACACTCCAATGGCTATCGCGGGGCCCCAGCTATGTATATTCTCCCCAGATGTACTTGTTACACACAATAAACAAGCAGCGAGAAAAGAAACTGGATGTCCTTTTTTTCAGTACAACGATGCTATACTCCAGAAACAGTTTCTCATTACTCTTCTCTTGCCTGTTCCTCTCGTAAGCACTTTCGCCTCCCATTATGTGTTAATGAGTTCCCTTATCCGACTAGCCGTGAGATGCTCTGCTGTAGTCCCCTACACCGGCGATCCCTTAATCTTCTTTCCTTTTGCTACCCCTCACAAAAGAGCGCTGCATCCCCGAGCGAGAGCCAGGGAGTTGCATCCTACAAGACCATACAAGCTTCAAACTGCACGCGCTATCCGTTATCATTGTGGTGGTGACTTAATATATTGGCCAGCACTACTGTCTGAATTCCACACCCTCTTCCCCCTTGCCATCAACCAGTAGAATAGCACCAAAGCCCCAAAGCACAGCGAGATAAACGGAAAAAAAAAAAAAAAAAAAAAGTAAAAAGGCACTTACTCTCATAACGGAGTCCTCGGTTCCCGTACTCTGGTACGTAGTTTACATCAAAACGGTACACAGCCAGCCCGTCCTTTCGCTCCAGAAAAGAAATGTTACATTCGCATGGGCAAAGAAACTAAAACGGAGCGCGAGGCGTATAATCGGTACGCTTATTACGTACGCGCTAATAGGTACTGTACTACATGCTACCAGCCAATCTCCAAAAAGCCATGTCTACCAGTTTTACAAGCTCATGCTTCTGTTTCGTATTGTAGTGATCTCCTTGTATGAAAAATACAGACACCTTCATACATGCGATGACCACAAGTTCACAAGTCAAAAGCCTTGCTCTACAATCATTCTACAGTCTAGTAGTATTTCCAGCTCAACTCACGTTATCAACCTCGGTAGTTTCCTACATCATCTCCATATCAATAGTATATCCACACTCCCTGTCCTGTCCGCTTTACTTATCAATACCTCTCAATCTTCACGCAAAGCAACAATCCCAGGTTCCACCAACCAACCAATCGAGCATGTTACCTCCCCTACCCACCTCCCAATAGTCCAAATCTTAAGGAGCTCATCTCACAACGTTGGATTCCATTTCCCCGGCGTCTACCTACCTACCTATAGCCCATGCTTGAGCCTAGCTAGCCAAGCCATCTGGCATGCCTCCATCTCCATCTCCATCTTCATCTCCATGTCCATGCCTTCTATCCGCTCCATCCCTCCATCTTCAACATACATGATTAGACATGTGCCAGTATAGATTTTCCGCGTCTGCCACGTGTACGGGGTTACATCTTTCATATGCATCGCCTTCTCGGTCCATCTCAGCCA